TTTTTTTTTTTTTTTTTTTTTTTTTTTGGTACCTGGGATTGAACTCGGGTAGGCAGGCAGGTGCACTGCCTAGTCTTGTTGGACCAAGTTTGAGGCCTGAAGTAGAAGGAATTGAGACTTGGATTCTAGGCAGGAGAATGATTTCCATTGTAATGAACAGGGGTTCGGTTTCTATGCTGAAGTGGATTTTGAAGAATGTGGAGCATCTGAACGTGTAACTTCACTGACACATTAGAAGCACGAAAGTGTTACACACAGAGAAGCTCAGATGGTGCTAGCCTAAGAGGCAGGTTGAACTTTCCCCACACATCCAAGGATTCATTAAGTGAGATCTGTGGTTGGAGACGGCAGTGTGGATTCGGCTCTGTTTCACAAGCACACAGTTGCCGCCTTGTGTGTGGATTATATTGTATTCTGTAGGAATGCCTCAGACACGCCCAGGCTTGCCGATTCTCTTTTGCCGCAATAATAATGACAGAAATAACAAACAAACAAAATCTGCCAACATAGCTTTATCTGCTTTTGGTTAATTAAACCTGATTTAGAGCACAATTTGCTAGTAGAAATTGAGGAATGCCATAAGGAAACGTGTGGTTTCACCCCTAAATCCATAACTCCAACGCAGGACCAGTTTTACTTGCACTGCGTTTGAATTATGGGCAGGGCAGGAGGCTTTCAATGGGACTTTCACAAATGACTATGTTACCTCGGAGCAAGAAGAATCACTCATGTTGTTGCTACCTCTAAGAAATTAGAGAGGCTGGAAGATGCACTGGCCTATGCTAGTGGGGAATCTGACAGGGACTGCTGATTCCAGGTATGGAGCGAGCTAATGCCGCAGCTCCTACTTTCTACTAAACACAGAGTATAATCAGCTATTTAGTGCATCTCTATGTATCACAAATGAGTTTTAAAGTGAAGAAGTGATGAGGAAAATAAATCTTTTGCTGAAGAGATAGGAATTCAATATCTGTTCTCCAAGGAACCTAGAAACTGCTTGCTGCATTGTTAGCATCGTTAAGACTCCTTCTTTTCTCTCAATGAAAACATAGAAGAATATTTTTAAAATGTAAATGAGTATTTTGTTGGTGTATGACCATGGAAATAACAACTGTTTCAGAGCAATGTCTTTCTTTCTTCTTTCTTTCTTTCTTTTTTTCCTTCTTTCTTTCAGAGTAGGAAAAATGTATTGAGAGAAAGATAGCTTCTGTCTAAAACAGAAGGGGACTGGAAAGTTTTCTTTTCTTTTTAAACAGGGATCTTGAGTGTGATAAGACTAGTGTAATAGTAAAGGAAAATAATAGAAAAGCACAGAAAGTTTTATAGATAAGAAAAATTTAAAAGCAAAGCATACAAAGCAAGGCTACTGTTACCATGACATTGCATATTATGTAAGTGGGCGGAGCCTCAATGGCTTCAGAATGCACCCATCTTTAAAAATGCATGTTAGAGCAACATTTCCTGAATCCCTTCTCCTTTTCTTATAAGCTGAGCTCACTATCCCTTTTGTGTCATCAGCAAATGTTATTATTCCTTTATTATAGCATTGGCATGCTATATGCAAATTTTTTTTACATATCTATTTCTTTTTGTTTGTTTGTTTTTGTGGTACCGGGGATTGAACTCAGGTCCTTGTGCTTGCGAGGCAGGCCACCGAACCGCTGAGCTAAATCCCCAGCCCCTACATATCTATTTCTAAGGCCAGGTAATGTCTTATATTCTTTGTCTTTCTTGACACAAAATATGGTAGGTAGTAGATGCTTAAGAAAGGCCTAAGTGAAAGATTCAATTGAATAAATAAATTATTTGTAGTTAAAGGGTGCATTTCTAACCTATAAAATCTCTCTGGAGCAAGCCACATGGATATAGCCTCAAAAAAATAAGCTCAATAAAATAAAATTTTAATCTTTCATTCAGCAATTTTTTATGGAACTAGATACTAAACACTATATTAAGTGCTAGGAATGCAATGGTTAATAAGACAGATAGGTCTTCTTGTTATTGAATTCTGTATGTCCCTTACGTACTCCTTTGTCATCCACCTTCAATGTCATATTTTTCTCAGTATGTCTGTCTCTTCTACTTAGTCGTGTACTGTCTTAAACACAACAAAGGCATTACTGATAACATATTTACAAATTACAATTACTGTACCATTAAAATAGCATACTTTATCACTGATGCCACAAATTAATGCTTGTTTATGAATCTAATGCTTTGGTTGCTACAGTTGTTAACCAGCAATTATTAAAAGCAATGGACTGCAAAATAATTATGAATAGTCAATAGGCCGAAAAACAAAGGGCGAAGTTAGTCAAAGGAATATGAGGTTGGATACTTATGAGCAAGTTGGATATCATTCCTGATTCATTGACTATATTCTGGATGTCCTTTATGTACACAGGGGCTGAATTAAACAACATGCAAGAAGTGATAAATAAAATACAATCTTCCCTTCCAAGAAAAGTTCACTCTAGTAGGGCTCCAAATAAACACACAAATATAGAACACGAGACATTCAGCTACAAGGAGGACACACAGGCATCAGGGCTAGCTGAGAAGCTCTGGCAGGGCAAACTTTCAGGCAACAGACACTATTTTTACCTTTATTGTTTTATAAAACTCAGCGACATAGTATATGTATTTCAGTACGTATGTCTTAATTTCTAAAATGGCTGCACATTAGTCCTTTGCTAGAGTTTACCTTCATTCTTTGACTTTATTCTCATCCACTGACATTCATTAAATGTAATTTGAATGTATGTTTGGAATGAATCATTTAGAGAACAGGGTTAACAGCATTAAATTTAAGGATCTCAGCACTATTTGGGTCAACTCGAATTGCTTAGCATGTAAAATCCCAATTGACTATCTGATGTTAAAAAATTTAAAAGGGAAGTGACAGCTATTATGAGAATTGGCTTTAAGACTCAGCAAAAGTATCAACGTCTTCAAAACTTTCCTCTGGATTTCCACGAATGTCTTCCATTTTGTCTTTAAAAAGTATCAGTTCCCCCGCATTTTCTTGGCTGCTTTGGAAGGATTTTTTAAAATGAAATTTCTTGCTAGATAATTGGCTAGTCTCCTCTGGCTTGCAGCCTCCTCAAACCAGGGAATGTTGCCTCTCTCCTTGCTTCTGTCTCCCTCGTTTGCCTAGAAGACAAAGCCAGCATGACATGTGGCATTGAGTGGTGTCATGGTCACTTCATGCCAAATTTGGCTCTGGAGTCCTTGTCTCAGGGGTGAAGCGAAGCACCCAGGCGAGATGGAGCATCTAAGCCGCTGGGTTTCTCCCAGTTTTCCATGGGAAGATCTGAACGGGGGTCTCAACACATATCTCACATGTTGTCTAATTATGATTATCACTCCCAACGACTGCAGCTGCTGTATATTATTTTCAGTCCTGGCAGTTTTCCCTTGTATTGCTCTAATTTTTATTTTTAGGGAAGAGCAAATGTAACTGTGAAATATTTAGTTCTGGTACAATACCAAGTACTCTCCTAGATAATTCGCTTAAATTACTCAAGCTTTAACGAAACTAGCTTTGAGTCATGTTTTTCAGATTCCGGTCACAATCCTAGGTAGTTACTTAAGCTACATTAATTCCACTCCCCCAAGACAAAACTGGTCTTAACTTACATTTTCTAAGGAAGTTTATACCTTAAAAGGAAATGAATGATTTGTGCTCAACTTTTAACCTTCTACACAATCAGCAGGGGAGAGGATATTGGGAGACTTTGATTATACTATACTTCTTGGAGTCACTCTGTTCTACCTAAACAGTGGGTGGAATTTAGGAGAAGAAAAGGGAAGAAAATGGGATATGCTTTGTAAGTGAATATATAACTTTTGATTGTGGTGTCTGAAAAAGTCAGGGAGATCTCATCATAGGTGATATCTCATTATTCCTTTTTGTTACTTTTTGGGTGAAACAGTCCTTCTTCTAAGATGCCAAGGACCTGGATTTCATGGCACAGACAGCCTCACATGTACCTTCTCATGTTCCACCTCACACTGGCACAGAGCTTCCATGTAGAAGACCCTGTCCATGTAGATACTGCACAGTTCTATGGCGTAGGCCTCTGGGGTCTTCTTCCTTCCCCGGACTTTGAGGTTGTAGCACTGTGCCTGCCTAGCACAGTTCTGTGTGGTGGAGCTGACAGTGTGTGAATTTCCAGTTTGTGTTTTCTCCCATCACACTTTTATTGTGCCTTACACTGTTTCCTGGGAAACAGAGAGATGAACGTACTAT